TTGTTGTTGTTATATATATATATATATATATATATATATATATATATTCATGTTGCTCTTAATATGCTTAGAGAAAAAGGGATAGCATTGTTCTACAGTGGTCTTGGTCCTTCTCTTACTGGGATAGTGCCTTACATTGCAGTTAACTTTTGCATTTTTACTTGTGAGGTTACACATTTCATTTTCCTTGTAGCATTCTGAAAAACACCTTGAGACATAACCCTTATGACATGTTATTTTTATGCAATTGCTAGAGTGAAGAAGTCACTACTAGAAAAATACCAAAAGAGGCCACAAACATCTCTTACAACTGCTCTGATCTCAGCATCGCTTGCTACACTCATGTGTTATCCACTGGACACTGTGAGAAGACAGATGCAAATGAAAGGTTCACCTTACAGTAATATTTTCTATGTTTTCCCAGGTAATATATTTATTTGTATGCAGTACTTGCTTTTTATTGGTGATGCGATGATTACCGGTTATTTCTGTTTCTTGCTCCATGTGCACTTGATGTCTTGGGAAGTCTCCGTTTCTTGCTTTTTATTGTATGCAGTACTTGCTTTTGAAGGTCTTGGCCCTATAGGAGTTAATGGCTAGGTAAATGATTAAGAGTGATGTGTAGTCACTTTTCTAGACACAGAAGCACACTGACAAGGGAAAAAATAAGAGCTAAAAATTAACTCATGCTATCAGTTTTGTCAATTAATTTTCTGAAATCTAGAAGATTAGAAGGGCTTGCACAAGCATGGGTAACTTGGGTGTTATCCAGGTGACATGAGAAAGAAACTGCTAAATGTCTCTTCAAGTTGTATGCCACTCAACATGAACTGCCATAAGATAAATTCTCTTACCAGTTTAAAGCTGTATTTCATTATTCTCATGTTATTTCAATGCCTGGATTATAAAATTGGTAAGACAACCATCTAGTTCAGGCTGTCATGCATAAAGCTGCTCAAAGTGTTCATCTTTTGGATGGCTCATCTTTGTTGCAATGGTCATATTTTTGACAATTTTGCTTAATGTTAATTATGTTGCCCATAAAAATTCAGGTATCATGGAGAGCGATGCTTTCTTTGGATTATATTGAGGTTTTGTGCCTAATTTATTGAAGACTCTGACAAACAGCAGGTTGTCCTTTATCCATCCGACTTCACTAACCTGTTTAGCGTAGCTTATGGTAGATTGACTTGGAATGTAGGAACTTGGTGTGCAAGAATCAAAGTGGTGTAAGATGATACCCATCAAAATTCATTTCATATCGAAAAGGATGTACTTATTTGAGTGGGTTCTGTGAGCACATCTTTTCCCTTCATTGCTTTGTGGTTTTCCTGTTCAATAAAAACTGTGGATTAGTTTGAGTTGATCCCTAATTGTTTGTTGTCAACACATCCAAGTCTTGCAGCATATGTATTCATCTCAGCTGGTTTCAATCCCCTTCTGTTGTCTGCTGATTTGTGTCTTTATCCGTAGTAAATTAGCATGGCAATATAATTTAGTTTCTGCTTGATGGGTGCAATTCACCTGTGTCTTCTCCGACAGGTTTCAGCGTGGAGGCACTGCACATTTATCCATTGAAGCAGGAGTGACGCGCGTCCCGCTGTCCCAACCAATGATTGCCGTGGTCCACTCTGTTCCATGTCCGAGCTGACACAGGTGACGTGAGATTATTCTGTTTATGGGATTATTTGTTGTTAATGATGCCATAAAGTTGCCTTCGGGAAGACGAAGCGAATTCGTCGGCGATGGCACTTTTTTCTGTCCCACGGTGTCAACAGTTTCCCAAACAATATCATTTTCTTTTAGGTTAAGGTACATTTTAACATGACGCATGCATCACTTTTTATTTTTATTTTTTATAATTTATTAGTATCTAAAATAATTTTTATATTTTTAAAAATATAAGATATAAATCTCTTTCAAATATGAGTTAACATATATTAAAATTTGCTTACACATGATATACTAACGCATAATAAATTATTAATATAATGATACATATAATTTATGATTAAGATATATTTTAATCTATCCGATTTTGGTTATGACCTTCTTGATAGTTTACTCATATTTAAAATAAATTTTATTTTATTTTAAATATAATATATAAGTCTATTCTGTCAAATCTGAGTTACAAACATTAAAGTTTATTTATGTGACATACTAATTCATAATAAATTATTAATATAATAAGAGATCAAGAGACTACTATATGT